CCGCGTCCTAGCATGGACGGGGGGCCAGCATTGCAGTGAGAGGGTGGGGGACGCGCCGCGCCCCGTGTTTTGCTTCGCCGCATCCTAGCATGGGTGTACGGGCCAACATTGCCTTGGGGCGCGCCGCGTGCGCCCCCCCCCTCTCGCATGCTCCGTCGTTTGATCTATTGAGTGCGTCCGCATTGCAAGGGGGGCGCGCTGCGCCCCATCCTTGGCTTCGTCGCGAGCTAGCAGGGGCAGGCCAGCATTGCGAGGGGGGCGCGCCGCGCCGCTTTCTGCTTGCGTCGTCGCTCCCCAAAGGCCAGCACTGCAGCGAGAGAGAGGGCGGGCGCGCCGCGCCCCGTGTTTTGCCTCGCCACATCCTAGCAGGGGTGGGCCAACTTTGCACTGGGGCGCGCTGCGCGCGCCCCTCCCCCCTCGCCTGCTCTGTCACGTCGTATCCTTACTGCGTCCGCATTGCAGGGAGGCGCGCCGCGCCCCATCCTTGGCTTCGTCGCGCACTAGCACGAGCAGGCCACCATTGCAGGTCGGCGCGCCCGCCCCTTCCCTCCGCCTGCTTCGTCGCGCAATGCCGCGAACGCGCCGCGCCCGTTCTTTTGCTCCCCCGCGTCCCAGCAGGAGCAAGGCAGCATTGCAGGGGACGGGGGGGCGCGCCGCGCCCCACCATTGTCATGAATGAGCGCCGCGCGCCCGCCCTGCCTGCTTCGCAATGCCCGCGCCCCCCTCCGCCTGCTTCGCCGGGCCCTACCATTTCCAAGGGGAGTGCGCCGCGCCTCCTCTTGTGCTTCGTCGCGTCCTAGCACGTTGGGCACGCCGCGCCCCCTGTTCCGCCTTTTTCGTCGCGAGTGATAACAGTCTCCACGGCAGCGCGAGACGCGCGCGGGCGCGCGCCGAGCTCTATAACAGCGGCATGACAAAACGTGCCATGCTCTCCTCGCAACCAACGTAAACCCCGTAGCGGATACCGATTGGATCTCCGCGCGGGTGGTCAGTGCTGAAGTGTTCGCAAAGTCGTTTACGCTTCGCGAGTCGCCAGCAGCCCATCCCAAAACAGCCAGTCTAGGGAAGCGCACCGCCTATCTTAGGGTTTGTTTCGAAGGCCATGTAATCCTCTTGGGGCTGTTGTTTCGGGTCTTGCGTTCGGAATCTCTCTGGGACATGTTCTGGTACTCGGGCTGCTCGTGTTGGTGTTAATGGTGCTGTTGGTGCTTGCGGCGCTGGTGGTGCTACTGCTTTTGGTGTTGTTGTTTGTGGTGGTGCTGCTGCTGGTGCTGGCGCTGCTGCTGCTGGTGCTGCTGCTGGTGCTGCTGGTATTGGTATTTGTTCGGGATCTTTCGGGAGCCTCTTGGGGCTAGTTTCGAAGGTCTTGTGGTTCCCTTGGGGTTCTTGTGTCGGGTCTTGCGTCTGGAAGCTTTCTTGGGAATTTTCGGGCCCTGGAGAGCGTCTTGGGACAGTTTGGGATAGCATGGATCAAAAGGATGTGAGCTCTCCGGTGCCGCCCCCCCCCGCCCACTTCGGGAATCTTCAAACATCGCTTCTTGGAGCCTTGTTGATGCTCTTTTAAGGTGGTCTTGGGGTCCTCTTGGGTCTCTGTTGGTGGGTCTTGGAGCCCTCTTGAGGCCCTCTTGGGGCTCTCTTGGAGCTCTCCTGGGAGCTTCGGAGGGCCTCCTGGGGCCATCTTGGAGGCCATCGATTAAAAAGATGGGGGTCCTCTATCGAGGCCCCCCCTGAAGAGGCCTAACACTGATCTCTTGGAGCGCTCTTGGGCCTTTCTTGGGTCGATCTTGGGCGATCATGGGACCGTCTTGGGGGTCTCTTGGGGCCCTCTTGGAGCTCTCTTTGGCCATCTTGAGGCCTTCAAAGCGCATCGGAAGCGAAACGGCGAGAAGGCAAGCAACGCTGATTGTCTTTGGGTGTTCGAAGGATGTTGGCTTCTCGGGTAGGTCCTGAGGGGTCTCCACAAGCACCTAGAACTGTCTTGTGGCTCGCTTGGAACCTCTTGGAGGCAATATGGAGGTCATCTTCAGCGATCTTGCGCTATCCTGGGGCATCTTGGAGGCCATCCTGGTGCATCGGGGGTCCTCTTGGAGCGATTTCGGGCGAAAAGAGACCGACTCTTTGACACCTCGCGACCCCCCCCAAAAAACCTCTGGGAGGGGAGGGGAGGGGAGGGTACCCCTCCCCGAAGGGAAGAGGGGTTTTCGGAAGAGGGAAGAAAGACATCGTTAGACCACCTGCGCCCAGAGGGCTGGTGGGATCTGACAAGTCGCCATGTTGGCAGGAGGAAGGAGAGGGGAGCAAGGCGGGGGGGATGGAGGAGGAGAACGAGGAGGAGGACGAGGAGGAGGAACATAAAGAGGAGGGGGAGGAAGAGGAGGCGCAGAGGAGCAGCTGGCGGCGGCCACGTCCTCCTCGTCGTCGGCGTCGACGACGACGGTGAGGAAGCCGCCGCCGCGGGTTCTCGCTGAAACAATTTCCTCAATCGTCCTCCCCTCCGCGCCGCCACCCTCGCGGCACCATGGGCGCTCTCGGAGGAGGCGCGGGGGAGGCAGGAGGAGGCAAGCGGGACTGTCGGCCTCCGCCCTGCGGCGATCACCATGCTAAATATTCAGCCCGCGGCGCCCTGCCGCCTGGGAGCGCGTGGGAGAGCCCTGGGAGGGCTGGGGATGAGTTGGAGGGCCTCGGGCCAGTCCGAATCGCCGCCCCCGCCGCTCCGAATTGTCAGCCCTCGGGCCCCCCCCTATTGCCTCGGAGATGGCCCGGGGGCCAGCCTGAAGCGTCAGCCCTCTGTGGGCCGAGCGCCCCAGCCTGCTGTTTTGATGGGGGCCGCGGGGGCGGCGAACATCTTTTCAAAACCGTTTGCCCCAACTTGTCGTCTTACCCGTTCACCGCCACTACAGCACGTGGGCCCATCAGGGCAGGGGTGTCCCCAGCGCAATCGGTTGGGCTGCGTCGCGGTCGGTCGCGCTCGGTCGGTTCGGCTCGGTCGGCTGTTGGCGCCGTTTCTGCGGCGGCGCATGCTGCTCAGCTGCGTTCGCTCGATTCCTTGTTGGTCGGTTCCGGTGTCGCTGTCTGTTCGGTCGGTTTTCGGTGCTGGTGTCACCATGGACGGCCTTGCAGAGGGGAAGCCAGCCTACCAGCAGATGCCCCACAGAAGTGTCTGATCCCGCCGGATGTGCTGGGGATCCACAGATGCCTCAGGGGCTCCCCTGAAAGTCGGAAAGGTGGACGACGTGTGTGCCTTTCTATCTCCGTGGTGCCCTTCAGACCCTCGCCACCGGACGCGAACACGGTCTGTGCAAGACCCATGCGGTAAGTTCCGGAACTGCACGTTTTTTGCTAGAAGCCAGGCGTCGTACACCTTCTTCCTTGGACACCTGGACATCTCTTGCTTTTACTCTGACTCCTTCGTTCCGCCCCCCCCGGCTCTCCCCTCATCCTGGCCCCACCCCCACCCCTCCGCGCCGTCCCTCCAATCCGTCCCTTGACTCCTCCTTCCCTCGCTCCCCCCCTGCCCGTTCGCAGGCACTTTCTCTCCTGGCCGGCCCTGAGGTTATTTGCCCGGTGGCCCCCATCGGGCCACCAGTTGATATTGGACATTCTGATGAAACCAAAAGGTACGATACTGCTACTCCCCAGACCTTTCCTGCAGTGCTTTCTGACCAGGATTCCGAGGCGCATCCGGCGGTGGCGACGAGGGTCTCCCAGGAGGCCCAAACAAGAGGGAAAACGAGGGAAGGGTAGAGGTATGGATACCTCTTCTTCCTCTGACACCCAGCGCTGCCCGATCAGCAGCTCCTTGCAAATGATGACCAGCGTAGGGTGGGACCCCCCCAGACACAGGCAGGGCTCAGCCTTGCCTCGCCGATCCGCGCCGCGGCGCGGGGGATGGGAGCCGCCATCTCGCCTCGCCCACGCGCCACGGCGGGGGGGTGGTGCCTTCCACGGCGCTTACGGTTCTCTCCCAGCGCGAGGGGAGGGGGCTCCCCCGAGCTGGGGCTACGACGTGCCTCGAGCGCGAGGCGAGTGGCCGCACCACCAGGAGGGCCCTCCCCGGTGCCTCGCTCGGGGCTCAGGAGACGAGGGTCAATGCAAACGGGGGTCAGTCAGAGCGCCGGATCTTGCAGGATGCCGCAGGGCCAGGGCTGCATTGGCCCGGGGCCAGGGCGCAGGATCCTGCAGGACCCTGCCGAATCTTGAAGGATCCTGCCAGGCCTGACGGACTCTGGTCTGGATTGACCCCGGTCAGTGCGTCCCCGATTCGCGCTGGTGGTGGTGGTGTCGCGTTTCCGTGTTTTTGAAAAGGGGGTGGATCTCGTCGCGCTTCTATCCAGTTGTACTGTTGCTCAGCGACCCGATGTCCACGCGCCGTGGGAGAAACGAAACAGTACTGGGCAGGGAGAGGACTAGAGCACCTGCCGAGAGCCATGCTTGACCAAGCGCCGTTTGCGGCGATCTCGTCGCGTGTATCAACTCACGGGATTCTTATATGTCCCCGAAACTCCGTCTGAAAAGTGCACTCGCGTGCGCTAGCGTCTGGTAGTCGATTAGACAGCGCCGATGTTTCGTCAGACGGTGTCAATTTGCTATCGATTGGCGTCGATCAGCGTCTGCCAGTGTCGATTCGCAAGAGCCACCTATCAAGGGAGCACAGACAACCGCGACCCCCATCACTGGCGTTCACTCAACGTCCCTGGGCGTTCACTACACAGCCCCGCCATGCTCGACTTCATGCTCGGATGCGTGTACGGAACGGCTTCGCTCGTCGGGGTGTTTCTTTTTGGGATGTGTCTTTTCTGTGCTCTCCAACCAGCTTGGCATGGGATGCTCGCTGAGCCCCATCCGCAGACGGCATCCATACACCACCACGGTGCCTGGCCAGGGCCATCTTGGGCACCACTATGGTGCATACGCCCTCCTGGCATCGGTCAGGAGGGCCCAGGCTGACCATGCCAGGCAGGCTATGGTGGCGGTGTATAGATGCCTTCTGCGCACCCCAGGCCGGGGCACGACGACCTGACGCCCCGCAAGCTGGCGGGCCCAGAGGTCACCGCCCCCGCCTAGCCGCGGCCACCCCTTCCTCCTCCTCCTCCTCCTCCTCCTCCTCTTCCTCCTCCTCCTCCTCCTCCTCTTCCTCCTCGGTTCGGTTCGGTTCGGATGAGCGCGAGAGGAACGAAGCGCGTACACAGGTGAGACGAGAGCAAGGATGGAAGCAGCAGCAGAGGCAGTGAGCCCCCTCCAGCGCCAACATTGGCTCACCTCTCCCTTAGGAGAGTGGCCGTGTAACAAACGGGTACTACCATTCACAGCTGATGGACACTGAGAGATCGGACAAGGGAGGGATATGTAGAGATCAGAGAATGGACGCGAGCCCTCCCCTATGCACAAAACAGTTACTGCCCATGGCGCGCGCAACCCCCATCGAGGGAGATTGCATCACCCAGAGTACTGCCGACAGGAGGCGATCCTTGAGGCGGCCTTGGCCGATTCTTTACCTTCCTCCAGGTGTCCCTTCACTGAATTCATGCAGCCTGTTATACAGCGACTACGCAGCCGAGGTGGAGCAAGCATGACATAACTCTCTCTCTCTCTCACACACACGTACACACAGAACACACGCAAACAAGACGAAGAGAAAAGCCTTGGTGGGTCACCTAGGCGCATCCCCCACGGTCGTGATAGGGCGGTTATGGGCCATGCAGTCCATATGTATGCCCGAGATGACGTATGGGTCCAATGGGGCCGTAAACCGTCGGAGGCCATGTGGGATTTCCCAACCGTCGTCACAAGAATCCAGCGCCACCATGGTTCGCAGCTCCCGTTCCTGAGCCATCGTCGACAGGTGTGGTTGCCTGCGAGCCAGAGACGGGACAGGGAGAGCGGGGGCAGCACCCAGGGGGTCACAGGAAACGAGGGCGGGAGAACCACGGCACAGCTCTAGGAAACGGCGTCTGGTTTCCTGGACAACGCACACTGCTAGGAAATGACTCCTCCTCCTCCTCCTCGTCCTCCTCCTCGTCGTCCTCCTCCTCGTCCTCACCCCACTCCTCCTCGCCGCGGCCGCCCCCCCCCCCCCCGCCCGGCCGCCCGCTTCAGCGGCGAGCTTCGGCCGCCGCGATCTCGGGCGGATGCGGCGGCCCGCGGGGGCTCCGTCGGAGGCGGCCAAGAGGGGGGTGATCGCCAGAGTTAAGTCGGGCAGTTCTCTCTACAGGAGGAATATTCAAAGTAGAAGAAATAGTCTGGGGACGATGATTAGACTCTTCGTGTCTATTCTTGAATTTGTGTTGCCTCCTTGTAATGTTCTTTCCATAGTTCGCCTGTAGGAGGACGTGCCCGACCTAAGACTAGGGGTGGAACTCATGGCCAGGGCCACGATATCTTTCTAAATGTTGCGTCGCCTGCTCTTCTTCTTTCAATGCGTCCCCTGGGCCGTGCACGTGCCTCGTGCCATGCTTTGTGAACCTCCGTTTGATTGGCCGCACCCCTCTTGGAAGCCCCCGAGCGGAGGCGCCGGAGGGCCTGAGGTTTTGGGCTACTGGTTTCGGCTTCTGGCCCGCAGATGCTCATCGTACGCATTCGATCATGTAGAACCGTCTGGGGTCTGAAGTGGCCCAGCACTGGTTCCGACAAGCAGGAAGGGGGTTGGGCGAGGTTCGAGGTTCTGCGTTCGTTTTTTTGTTTTTGTGTTTGTTGGGCCTCCTGGGGCCGTTTCCAGGCCCTGGGACAGTCCAGGACAGATCCGAGGTGAAAAAGTGATCGAGATGGATCCCCGTAGGGATCGCAGTACCGATATTCGGTGGGTTTGCCCGTGTCTCTCCGTGTTCTCTTGACCCGTTTTTTGAAGTCCAGCCAGTTCAGACCCCCCAGCCGCTTCCAAGGCTTTAGGTTGCTGCTGCTGATCTATGCTTCTGTTCCGCGGATGGTCATCGTACAGTGTCGATAACGATCATCGTCCATCTTGGTGATGGTCAATCCGTTGAGCATCCTCGCCAATCGGCGACTGCCGGCAAGGACCATGACCAAGATCGGCGTCGACGTTAGATCCCGCGACAGTTTGGTTGCTCATCTTCATCGTGTCTCTCCCCTCGACTCGATTTCACTGGCCCACGCGCCTCTCCGCGTCCTGGGTCCTCGGGGTAGGGGACGCCGTTGGACAGGAGCACGGCTACTCGGGAGAGAGCACTACTAGGATGTGTAAGGCTTCGACGGGACGGTCTCAGCACCCTGGTGTTAAAATCGGGCGCGTCCCACTACAGGAGGAGCATTCAAGAATAATCAAATCGCATGCGGACGATTCCCCTATGATTTTTCACCATTTTGGAATAGTTTTCTGCGGTTTTTATTCTTCGACCGAAATCCGCCTGTAGAAGGACATGCCCGATTTAACCACGGTGCTGGCGGCGCCCCTGGGGCGCTGCCAGCACCCCAGGGCTCGCGTGTTGAGACTGGCCCCGGACCACTCGGGGGGGGCCTGCTGAGGCCAGCTGGGACTGCCAAAGGTGCCCGTCTGTGCGCGTCCCGAAGCCTCACCCTCCGCGGGCGACGTGTGTGCACCGTCCGGGATCGGCCCAGGCGCAGTACGGTGCTCGGTCTTCATCGTCCCGCGGAGCCGAACAGAAGCTGTGCACCGTACCGCGCTGGAGCGGGCCCTAAGGGGGGGGGGCAGACATGGGTACGATGCATGGGCGGTGTTCTCGTATCTGGGTGCCCTCACCCTTCCCTGGGACCGTTAAAAAGCGGCTCGGCAGGAAAAGCCCGTCCAAGGGAACTCTGATCTTTGGATGCCAGAACTTTTCAGTCGCGACCGACGAGAACGGTCGCTACCGACTTTGCTTTGAATTTAGGTATCGATCGCGACCAATTGGTCGCCATGGGTGGCGACCGGTCGCGACCGATTTTTGGATCGGTCGCGAGGGTCGCGACCGACAGGAATTATCCAAAGATCTGGGGATGGGTCGAGACTCTCGGGGTCGGCGGTGCCAACAAGAATCAAGACGTCGGGGGTCTAAGCCTCCGAGCCTGTGCTGCCATGGGGGCTCCTTCCGGGCCTGGGGGCACAGCGAGTACGGCCCTCACTTTGTGTGATCTTCGCGAAGAGCCGTTCCGAGAGGCCCACCGAGTGAATGTCATGACGTCGAGGGTTCCGGCAGCCGTGAGATTTGGTGACCTGTTGATTGATTTCGAACGGAGTCATGAAGGGGGGATTGTAGAGCGAAGCGAACGCTCTATCCTTCTGGCGCTGCTCTGGCTCAATGCAGCGCTGTCCTATATGTTTACCACGAGCCCTCGCGGTACAATCGAACCTAAGAGTTGGATGAAGGCCACATCCACCGCTGGTTCATCTCTCCATCCCATCTCTTGCCTCTGATCTCTCATCTTGCTTGCCATCAAGGGAGAAGCTCTGGAATACCTCGATAAGTCTCCGACGTTATCCTAAGCAGCAGGGTCTCAGCTGATTACCCCATACCTCATTGAGTCCCTGACCTTCGCTTTTCACTGTTTGTTCGAGTACGGCCGGACCGAGGCATAAGATCGAGGTCCGTTCGGGGAGGGTGTCTTGCAGTTCTTCGTGTTTTGGTGGATGCTCTTGTGCACCCTTGGCAAGGGCACCCTCGCGTGATCTTTATGGTTATGGGTGTTTGGCTGGCGGAGTGTTTCATGTTCTTGGGGGATGTTATTCAGTCCTGGGTCCGACCGTACTGTCAGCAGTGGTCGGCGCCGTCAGGGTTGAAGCAGATGTTTATGATCCTCAGGACATGTGTCCGTCGAGCGTGCGTTTGCCCCGTTCGGCTCTCATTACATCGGCCGCAACGTCTCGACGGGGGTCGGCGGGCAAGCACACGCTGGCGCTACCATCGGCGATTCCAGGGTTGCGTGCAGAGAGCCACACAGGAGCCTGGCTGCCTGCGGTCACCAGCTTGGAACATGTCCCTATCCCTAGGATTAGCACCACCTGATCTGGATGCCGATCTGAAGGCTTCCCTCCGCTTATAGGGACGAGTCCCCACGATTGTCGGTGCATTGGGGCTTGTCAACCTTAGGTGTGCACACAGGTGTGGTGTGTGCATATATATATATATATACCTATACGACCACCCTTCGGGTGATAAGGAGGTGAGGGGGGGGGGGTGGGACCAACGTCGCACTCGATCGATCTCACTATCGAACTCACTACCGATCTCACAATCGATCTCAATCGATCGATCTCACAATCGATCTGACTATCGATCTCACAATCGATCCCACAATCGATCTCACAATCGATCCCACATTTGGTCTCGCTATTGATCTCACAATCGATATCACAATCGATCTCACAATCGATTTCACATTCGATCTGACTATCAATCTCACGATCAAACTCACTACCGATCTCACAATCGATCACACATTCGGTCTCACTATCGATCTCACTATCGATATCACAATCGATCCCACAATCGATCTTGCATTCGGTCTCACTATCGATCTCACTATCGAACTCACTTTCGATCTCATAATCGATCTCACATTCGGTCTCACTATCGGTCTCACTGTCGATATCGCAACCGATCCCACAATTGATCTCACACTCGGTCTCACCATCGATCACACTATCGAACTCAATATCGATCCCATTATTGATCTCAATCGATCGATCCCACAATCGATCTGACTATCGATCTCTCAGTCATCATCATCATCATCATCATCATCATCATCATCATTATCATCATCATCATGATCATCATCATCATCATCATCATCATCGGGGCACCATCATCACCATCATCATCATCAGCACCATCAGCACCATCATCATCATCATCATCATCATCGTCATCATCATCATCATCATCATCATCATCATCATCATCATCATCATCATCATCATCATCATCATCATCATCATCATCATCATCATCATCATCATCATCATCATCATCATCATCATCATCATCATCATCATCATCATCATCATCATCATCATCATCATCATCATCATCATCATCATCATCATCATCATCATCATCATCGGACACCGGGACACCGACGGGACACCGGCGGGACACCGCGGGCCCCCGGCCGCCCGGAAGGGAATCATTTCGTCCGGCCGCGCCTCAGCCACACGGGACACCAGCGGGACACCGGCGGGACACCGTGGGGCCCCGGCCGCCCGGAAGGGAATCATTTGGTCCGGCCGCGCCTCAGCCACACGGGACACCAGCGGGACACCGGCGGGACACCGCGGGGCCCCGGCCGCCCGGAAGGGAATCATTTGGTCCGGCCGCGCCTCAGCCACAGGAGACTTTCTCTCGCCCGCCCACGCAGCTTCGCCTCGCCCGCACGGCACGCACGAACACGAAACCGAAATCGATTTCCCGGTAGGGGGGCTCTCCGTTCCACTTCGATCTCACCCCCTCACCTCCGATATATATATATATATATATATATATATATATATATATACATATAACGGCGCACCGGGTCCGGGGGCCCTGGGCCGGGACCTCGACCACAAATGTGCACCCCGGGGGGCCCGGAGGCTCGTCGGGGCTTGCCGGAGGCCTCCCCGGTCAGACAAGACGGCCCCAGGAGCGCCCAAGACGGCCCAAGAAACTTCCAAGAGGCCTCCAAGAGGGCTCCGAGATGCTGAAGATGGCCTCCAGACGTCCAAGGACGCCCCCAAGAGGCCCCAAGAAGCCTCCAACATGCGTCCCAAGAGGGCCCCTAGACGCAAAAATTGGCCCATTCCCTTCGTAAAACGTACATTTTTCAACAAAGTTGCTTTTTGGGCTTTCCGACGTTACAGGACGGCCCACGAGGCGCCCAAGACCGCCCCAAGACGGCCCAAGAAGCCCCCAGGACAGCCCAAGAGGGCCCCAAGACGGCCCAAGAGGCGCCCAAGATGGCCCAAGAGGGCCCCAAGACGGGCCCAAGAGGGGGCCCAGAGGGGGACCACGAACCGCAAGCTCGAGCCTTCCGCCCCAAGAGGCCGCCAGGAGGCCCCCAGGAGGCCCCTCAAGAGGCCCCAGGAGACCCCAGACGTCCAAGGACGCCCCCAAGAGGCCCCAAGAAGCCTCCAACATGCGTCCCAAGAGGGCCCCTAGACGCAAAAATTGGCCCATTCCCTTCGTAAAACGTGCATTTTTCAACAAAGTTGCTTTTTGTGCTTTCCGACGTTACAGGACGGCCCAAGAGGCGCCCAAGACCGCCCCAAGACGGCCCAAGAAGCTTCCAAGAGGGCCCCAGGACAGCCCAAGAGGGCCCCAAGACGGCCCAAGAGGCGCCCAAGATGGCCCAAGAGGGCCCCAAGACGGGCCCAAGAGGGGGCCCAGAGGGGGACCACGAACCGCAAGCTCGAGCCTTCCGCCCCAAGAGGCCGCCAGGAGGCCCCCAGGAGGCCCCTCAAGAGGCCCCAGGAGACCCCAGACGTCCAAGGACGCCCCCAAGAGGCCCCAAGAAGCCTCCAACATGCGGCCCAAGAGGGCCCCTAGACGCAAAAGTTGGCCCATTCCCTTCGTAAAACGTACATTTTCAACAAAGTTGTCTTTTGGGCTTTCCGACGTTACAGGACGGCCCAAGAGGCGCCCAAGACCGCCCCAAGACGGCCCAAGAAGCTTCCAAGAGGGCCCCAGGACAGCCCAAGAGGGCCCCAAGACGGCCCAAGAGGCGCCCAAGATGGCCCAAGAGGGCCCCAAGACGGGCCCAAGAGGGGGCCCAGAGGGGGACCACGAACCGCAAGCTCGAGCCTTCCGCCCCAAGAGGCCGCCAGGAGGCCCCCAGGAGGCCCCTCAAGAGGCCCCAGGAGACCCCAGACGTCCAAGGACGCCCCCAAGAGGCCCCAAGAAGCCTCCAACATGCGTCCCAAGAGGGCCCCTAGACGCAAAAATTGGCCCATTCCCTTCGTAAAACGTACATTTTCAACAAAGTTGTCTTTTGGGCTTTCCGACGTTACAGGACGGCCCAAGAGGCGCCCAAGACCGCCCCAAGACGGCCCAAGAAGCTTCCAAGAGGGCCCCAGGACAGCCCAAGAGGGCCCCAAGACGGCCCAAGAGGCGCCCAAGATGGCCCAAGAGGGCCCCAAGACGGGCCCAAGAGGGGGCCCAGAGGGGGACCACGAACCGCAAGCTCGAGCCTTCCGCCCCAAGAGGCCGCCAGGAGGCCCCCAGGAGGCCCCTCAAGAGGCCCCAGGAGACCCCAGACGTCCAAGGACGCCCCCACGACGCTTCGCGTCACCAATTTCTTCTCACAACGATTCCTGGGTCTGTGACTCGACAGAACCTAAGCGCGCGCGAAGCGCGCGCGTGGTTCTTGTTTATATATATATATATATATATATATGTCATTTGTCGTTTCGTGGGGCACTTTGCTGAAGCGACCCACCTTTTTTGTTCAAGCGAAGTCATGCGTTTCGTTGGTGAAAAATATCCAGCAACTCCCACGCCAAGTGCCGATGGTGCTCCGAAGTCACGATGTGATGTGCCATTGGCGCCGCCGCCAAACTTCAGACGGCCGAGTGTGGAATGTTGCATCCGGGGCATTCTGAAGCTGCCCCGTCGCCAAAGGTTTCGCCTGCGGCAAAAATCATACAACTTGAAAGTCGAGATAAGTTGGAGGCTGGTGAGCAGCACACGCAGGAGCCCTCTGCCTTCGAAGCGGCTAGAGGCGCTTGTGACCCCCTCTGGGCCGGCGACCTTTCTGCGCGGCTCCGCACTGGAAGGGGCGCCGCTCCCCCCGATCGCCCCAGGTCGCCTCCGCGCGCACGGGGCCCGCCTTCACCATCGGCAAGTCCAAGGTCCCCGGAGAAAAGCATCGAGGGACACGAAACGGCATAAGCAGAATTCGGCGGCGCAATCCGAGCCTTGCCCTCACCGACCAACGAGTCAGGCCGCTCGATGGGCGGCGGGGGTAGGGTTCGGAATTCGTCGAGCACGTGGCGAAATCAGAACCCTACCCCCGCCTCCCAAGAAATTCAAGAGAATTGATTGTTGGTGGGGTAGCGCTCGGATGTCGCCACGTAGTGAGCTTTCAGATCTCCGCGTGCATTTCTCGGAGCGGCGCTGGAGCCCCCCGGCGGCGCCTCGGCGCCGCCTTTGGCCCGCTCCGCGCGCCAGTTAGGGGCCCCAGCGCCCATCCGAAAAGTCCGCGCGGACCTCCAAAACCTACTGTTTGTGCCGTTCTTTGCTTTGGCTGCTTCCAGAAGAGGAGAGCATCAGTGCCACGCCACGGTCGGTTGTGAGCCCGGTGGCGTGTTTGTTTTTTGGTCTTACCGAAGTTCTGGCGTTTCTGCAAACGTAGCATTAAGTCAGGCATGTCCTTCGACAGGAGGAATATCCAAAGATAGTCACAAAGTAGCCTGGGGACTAGTTTGACTATTTTTGAGCTTCTGTTTGACTGTGCTTGATTTTTCTTGCAGAATCCGCCTGTAGCCTGCCCGACCTGGTCGCAGCACGCGGAGGCTTCCCCACGGCGTCGTGCCAGTGATGCTGCGCTGGCTCCCCCGAGGTTCGAGAGTTGCGGGACGCCGACGAGGGCCAGCCCCGCAAGCTGGCGGGGCCCCCTGCACCGCCCGGGACGAGCCTCGAGGGTCGAGCTTCGAGGATCGCGGTGCCCAGAAGAGGGAAAGGCATCCATACCTCTACCCTGCGCCCGTTCTCCCTTTTTGGGTGGGCCTCTCGGGACGCCCTCGTCGCCACCGCTGGATGCGCCTCGAAATCCGGGTCAGAGCGCACCCCGTGAGAGGTGCGGGGGTGTAGCGGTATCGGCACCTATCTTTTGGTTTCCCGTTTGTAGGGCTTGGCGGGCACTTCTCGTCGCCGTTCATGCATCGGAGGGACGGGGTGGGATCGGAGAGAGGGGGGGTCGGGGTGGACGAGTTTGGAGGATACATGCTTTTTGTTCATGTGTCGTGTGTCCTCATGAGGCCTCGGACGGGTTTGTCGTCGCCACGGCTGGATCCGCTTCGAGGTTCTGGCCTCAACGCACCCCGGGGGGGTCAGATTCTGGCGTCGCACAGAAGTCGAGACGGCGTGCTCACTGCGTTTTTTGCCTGGGGGGGGGCGCTTCTCGGCCGCGGGGCTACCAAACAACTGCTCTGGATGAACAGCTGGCCCTGGGGGAGGGGCTGAGATTCCCTGGTCCCACGTCACCGACAGAATGCGAAGTCAGAGGGGTGGATGGCCCAGACTTAGTAGTAGCAATTCCCAAGAAGGCTGTGCTAGCACGACGTCGAGCTGCTATACGATGTAATTGTCGACCAGGTCCGCCAGCTCGGGTTAAACAAATCCCCCGCGGGTGCACCATTTTGTCCCAGGGTCCGGCGAGGTCTGGGCTCCAGTTGGCCCTTGGGGTCGGGAGTCGGGAATCCCTTGGGACGCCAAATCGCTTCTCACGGTGTTCACTGGGTCCCACAATGATCCCACCACGTCCCCAGAGCTTCTCAAGCTCCCAAGACAACCCAGGGGCCCCAATCGCACCTGCAAGAGTTCCCCCCCCCCCACAGGAGAAAAACTCCTGGATCCCCTTTTGGCAGTTGCTGATCTTGTTTCCGCATGCTTGCCGCTTCGGTCTTCATGACAGCCTCTGTCGTGCATCGGCGTTTTCCTGTGGCCTCCATTACCCTTGCTACTTCTCCTTTCATGTCTCCTGACACCATCCCCTCCTCCTGTCCATCTCCTCCATGTCGTGCATCATCGCTCCTGCCCCCCTCCCTCCACTCTCCTCTCCTTCTTTTCGCCATATGGCCACATTGCTCTAGCCTTCTGCGTTCTCCGTCGTTGTCTGTTTCTCTATTGGCCGTCCCTTGTCTCACCACGACCCCTGCGCATGTGCCTGGCCAGTACCGAAGTAAGCTTGCGGATCGCGCGCCCGCGTTTATCCATCTCGAAATTCAAAACGCAGGTACCGAGCCAGGTGGAAGGAGCTTCTAGGGCGGACTGGGCTGAATCTAGGCCAGACCAGCTCAGAGCAGGCCAGATTATTGCGAAGGCCTTACGGCCAGTGCCGCCGACCCTGCATGGCGACGACGTCGACGATGACGACGCTGAGATCAGGCCAGATTTTTGAGCACGAGATGCCAGGGCCGAGCGTGAATTCCACCTCCCAGGAGCCGCAACCTAACCAGAGTTCTGGCGCCCTGCGAAGTTCCGAGCTTGGCAATCTGGAGGTTGATCACGGGCCCCAGGGACACTGCAAAGCTGCCCGCGGCGCGAGACGTCGGCGCGACAGGTGCGGTCCAGAGCGCTGGGGCCCAACGCATTCAAACACTTTCCGTGGGTGGACCGGCCTTCAGCCGATACGGAGGTTTCGGAGCTTAAGAGACGGGGGTCAATGCAAACGGGGGTCAGCCAGGGCATCGGATCCTGCAGGATCCTGCGAAGACCCACCCTCGTTGACCGGAGTTAAACATCCGCTCGTGACCGCGAGGCGGCCGCGCGTATTGGCTGACCCGGGTATGCGAAGCCCTGCGTTGCAGTTGTTTTCCTGATCTTACAGTTTTTTGGTTTCCTGCTGACCCTGGACTGATTAACCCGGGTTAGCAGATCCCCGAAGGTTCGTGAAGGGGGAATCTGGAGAATCGACTACACGCAAGAGTGGTCTTTCGCCGGAGTCCTTTGGTGCGGGCCGGCTGTAGTCCCACGATCGCCGAACGCGATGCGACAGCAGCGTCTTGCGCGCGTGGGTCTGTTCCCCCGCGGCCCCCGAGACGCCGAGCGCCAGAGGTCACTCTTGCCCAGGGGTTTACTCTTGCGTGCAGTTGAGAGGGAGAATCGAGCAGTGGCGAAGCGTCCTGGCTTGCCTATAGGCCCACCAAACAATGTTCTAATAACCTTTTGTGGTCTGCACGAAATGTACATTTCTGGCTGAGTCTGTCTTGGTTGAACACATCGGGGTCATGTTCTAAGAACATGGCTGTTCTTCTTAGAACACTTGGTGGGTTCTACAACATTTTGTGGCAGGCCTATAGGAATGCCGGGACGGTCGGTCCCTGCTCAAGAGAAGCGATACCGTGGCCACCAGGGGGGCCTTGACCAGTTCGGACCCCCCGCCGCCCCCAGCTGGAGGGTCTCTTGTGTCGGGTCTGTGTAGGCGTACTCGTTCAGGGGCCCACGGCCTCGAAGTTCGAGCGATGGTCTGCGGAGCTTGTTTGCGGGACTTGTCGCACTACCATCGGGGTCTCCCGCGGGCCTGCTTTTTTTGTTTGTTCATCAGGCCGAGGATCAAGTCGGGCATGCCCCTCCACAGGAGGAGAATTCAAACATAGGTCAAACATAGTCAGGGGACGAGTTTTCGATTGCGTTATGACTATTATTGGATAGGTGTTGGAGTATTTTTAGTTGTTCGGCCAACACTCGCCTGTAGGGGGACATGCCCGACGTACGCCAAGGAGGTCCCGAAGAAGGCGTCTTCGAAGCAGGCTGCTTCTTAGAAGGGCCCGGCCTCACATCTATAGACAAGGGTCGCGCCTTCAAAGAAGCAGGGGCGCTTCTGAGACGCCTTCCTCCCCCTGCCCCCCTGTGCGCGTGCCGAAAGACGGCCCAAGAGGCCCCCGAGACGGCCCAAGAGCGGCGCTCGCGGCTCCAAGATGGCGGCCTAAGAGGCCTGCAAGATCGCCCCCACGGGGTCCCCAAGAGGACCCCCCCAGAGTCGAGGGTTGCAGATGTATGTTATTGCGAAGGTCTTACGGCTGGTGCCGCCGACCCTGAGGTTGGGGAGGAGGGCGCGGAGCATGGGGAGGAAGACGAGGAGGGGGACAGGAGGAAGAGGCGGATGAGGAGGAGCAGAAGCACGGGGGGGGGAATGAATAGGAGGAGAGTGAGGCGAGCAGGGTCGCGGGGGGGCACGACGGAAGGGCAGGCGGCAGGGGCGAGTAGAGCGTGGCGATCATGAGGAGGAGAAGGAAGGAGATAATGGCGAGGATGTTCACGATGTTGACGACGACGCCCGTTGCATATCAGGACCATTCGGGCCGTCTTGGAGCCCTCCCGGGGCGACTTCCAGGCCTCGTTCGACGTTTTGAAGCTAGGTTCGGCATCTTGGGCATTTGGGAGGCCACGGAGGTGTAGTTAGATTTGGATGGTGCTGGGGCCGGGACCTGCAGCCAGGGCTGGGGCCGGAGCGGGCCGGGAGCCAGGGCGGGCCTGGGCCGGGGCCGGGGCCGAAGGGCCAGAGCCGAGGCCAGGGCGGGGCCGAGGCCAGGACCGGGTCCGGGGCCGGGGCCGGGGCCGGCGGGGCGGGAATTGGGGCCGGCCAGGACCCGGGGCCAGGGCGGGGAGTTGTTGGAGCGGGGGCCGTTATAGTACTAAAGAAACAATCACAATGCCCCGGGGACCCCCCGTGGAACACCCCATGGATGGGACCACCTTCTGGGACCGCCCCCCGGGACCAGCCCCCTGGACCCCCCCCAGGACCCCCCCGCCGGGAGCCCCCCCCCCGCCCTGGCAAGGGATCCAAGGGAAGGGCTTCGCCTTCACCTCCATGTGAACAATGTTATGTGGCGAATATGTGCTGGAGTGGATTGCTTCGCTTTCACCTCCATGGCAAGGGATCCAAGGGAAGGGCTTCGCCTTCACCTCCATGTGAACAATGTTATGTGGCGAATATGTGCTGGAGTGGATTGCTTCGCTTTCACCTCCATGTCAGCGATGTTGTGTGGCGTAGCGGCTGGTGGATTAGGCTGCACGAGGGATGGCGGAGACCACGCGGACGAAAGCGCTTCGCGCACGCCAACAGGGTCGGCGGATTTTGAATTCAATCACGTTGTTTTTGGATGCCCAAAAAATTGGCTCTTAAATTCAAACAAGTGTTTTTTGATTTCCAAAAACTTGCTAATTTAATTCAAAGGACCAGCCCCCAGAGGGGGTCTAGAGAAGGGGCGACCTGCAGCCCCCAAAGGCACACGAAAGCTGGACCTTTCCTCGCCCCCCCCCCTCCGTTGAGTTCGGGGGCCCCCAAGCGGTGGCGACCGAGGGGGGGAATCGGAGGTTATAGACCTCCTACCCTGCCACGTGGATTAGCGAATTGGCCTTTTCCGGTTCGCGAGAGGGCGTCGCGGCCGTCATTTTTGCGGGTCCATATCCGTCGGTTTCGGTCGTGGTCCGTTTTCATTAAAGGGAGTTTTGCTAAAGGAAGGTTTGTCCACCGCCGAGGGAAGTGAGCGGGGGAAGTTTTTTTTTTTTTTTTTTTTTTTTTTTTTTTTTTTTTTTTTTTTTTTTTTTTTTTTTTTCCCAGAAATTTCGGAAGTCCCACGGCCTCCTGAGAAGTTGTCTAAGCTTACTCCTGCCAGAGGGCGCGAGGGTTTCTGAAAAGTCCCGCCGCCTTCTGAAAAAGGCCTTCTCTTTCTCACTTCCCCCCCTCGCTCGCCGCCAACCCAAGCGGTGTGGCGATCGCACCGCACGCTCTCCGAGGTCGTCTCGGGCGACTGGTGCCTCTGAGTCAGAAGAAAAGTTGGCACACATGCCTCTACCCTTCCGTCGAACTCCCCTTTTTGGGCCTCCTTGGCGGCCCTCGTCGCCCCCGCTGGATTCGCTTCGAAATCCTGGTCAAAACGCGCCCCGGGAGAGGTCCGGGGAGCAGTGGTATCGGTATCGTTCGGTTCTCGCATTGCGGCCCCAAAGCCGTGCGGTGACGGACCGCGCAGTGAGGTCGCTGGGGCTTCCGAGGTCACGCGGTCCGTCACCACACAGCTTTGGGGCCCCGATTCGGCGCCCTTCCCCGTCACTGCAAGCGGTGCCCAAAGGGGCCCATCTTGCAGGCACGCAGACCTGCTATAGCAAAGGCCGCGGCAATTTCGGTTCCACCAGCTCGAGCAGCGTTGCGCGGTCCGGGCAGCGTCGGCGGCGCGCACAAACGGGGGGCGGCCTTCTGGTTGGGCACCCCACGAGGGCTCGTTTCGATTCTTCCGATCCGATTCGATTCGATTTCGATGACCTCCGATTCCCATTCGATTCCAGTTGGGCTTCCGAGTTGGATTCCGATTCCAAAGTGGAGGCCTGCTTTCCTGCCGATTTCCGCCGATTCGATTCCTCACGACTCGGCCGCCGATTGCCGCCGATCTGGTCCATGTCGATCGCCGACCCGACTCCTCGATTCGAGCTTGGGCTCTCCTGCCCCGATCCCACCCAAAAGTGGGAGCAGGGAGGAGGGAGGAGGGATGAAGGAGGAGGGAGGAGGGAGGAGGGAGGAGGGACGAAGGTGGAGGGAGGAGGGAGGATGGAGGAGGGAGGAGGGAGGAGGGAGGAGGGAGGAGGAGGGGCAGAGCCCTTCTCAGAGGCCCCCTGCGCTCTCTCTCTCTCTCTCGGGAGGCCGCCCCCCTCGCCTCGCCTCTCTGCCGCGCGCCGGCGCCAAGAGGCAGCCCGCGCCAAGGCAGAGGCAGCCGGCAGAGCCATGCGAGCCATGCCGCAGAAGGGTTCCGCCCTGCCAGACCGGGGCCCCGGAGACGGGGGATGCTGGCTGCTCGGGCGGGGCCTCCCGAGACCCCTTGTTGAGCCGTGGCAGAAATCACGGCGGGAGGTGTTTCGCCATTCTGAGCCTCTGTGGGGCCCTTGCCAGGCCTCGGGGCCGTCAAAGAACGAGTCAGGATGAAAAGCTGGTCACGGGGACTCTGGTTACTCGGGCGGGGCCTCCCCAGAGATGGGTTGGCGTCATGAGCTGACCCACTATCAAAAATTAGCATCCTAGCTACTACGTCCGTACACAAGACTGATCCGCTGACAGATCCAACTCATCTTCCATGCCTTGGCATCAAAATCATGCGAAGCAGCATGCTCTCCCCTCGGATCATGACAAAAATCACGACGGGAGGTTTCTTCACTATTTTGGGTCTCTGGGTGCCCTCACTGGGCCTCGGGACAGTAACAAAAACAACACAGGATGAAAGGCCGGTCCCGGGCAATGGGTCGAGACCTCCAGAGTCGACGTTTTGAAAAAATCATGACGTCGTGGGTTCAAGCTTCCCAGATGGGGTCGGAGCAGATGGGGTCGGAGGACGCGCCGGATCGCCGATGCATCGGCGATGCGGCTCGATGTGGAGCCCGATTTTCTCCACGCCGACGTCGCCGACACATCGCCAGTGCATCGCCGGTGCATCGGTGATGCGGCGCGATCCTCCGTCCCCATCTGCTCGACCCTATCAGGGAGGCTTCTATAAGGGCGTGACCTACGTTCGGGGTGACCCGCACTGGGGACATTGGGGGTGACCTACACGGCGGGTGAAGAGCGGGACCCTGAAGGAGCAAGCAGGGGTGCAGAAGGGGGCCCGAAAGCCTGAAGGGCTCCTCGAGGGCTCCTTCTTCATCCTCCATGTGGGTCCCCCCCCCTTAGCACCCCCCCGAGCTGCGGCGACATTGGTTGGCCTCGCCCTCTGCGTCCTGAGGGCGAAGAGGGGGGGCGGAGGGGCGGAGGGTGAAGAAAAGTCAGTGGAGTCAAAATCTGTAGAAAAAACACACGTCTGTGGAAAAAAGCACAAACGCCAGTAGGTTTTTTCCCACAGAAGTTTGTGCGTTTGTTCCACAGACGTGTGTTGTGTGTGTGTTTTTGTTTTCCACGGAGGGGGAGGAGGAGGACCGGGAGGAGGGGAGAAGAAGCTCGCTTCGGTTCGTGAGATCGTTCCTTTTCTCCTCCTCTCTGCACTTCGGCCACGCGCAGAGGGGGGTGGGGTGAGGGGGGAAGGCTTCTTAGAAGCACCCCTGCTTCTTAGAAGGCGCGCTCTATACATGTGAGGCCAGCGCCTTCTAAGAAGCAGCCCCCTTCTAAGAAGCCTTCCCCATTCCCCCTACCCCGCTCTGCGCGCCGCTAAGTACTGTCTGGCAGGCCTATATTATGTGCTCGTTTGGCAGGCGCCTTTATCTTGGCCTCCTTTTCTCTTTTCGTTTTCCGCCGTGCCTGTCTGACTAAACTGTCTGGCCTCTAGGCCTAAGTCGGCATCTTCACGCATTGCTTCTCCCACACACGCTACAAACCTAGGGTTATAGTCCGTGCAACGGTCAAAATGGAGGGGGAGGAGACCGCCGTCGTCATCAGAGTGTTGTCGCCGTCGCCGTCGCCGTTCCCAAGCTATATGCAGCCGAAGGCCGAAGTCTTCTGCATTCTCTGCTGTTGCCCCTGGGCCCCCCCTCCCCTCCGACGGCGTCCCCGCTTGCAGCGTCCACGCCTCTGGGCGCCCCCGCGTACTCCGACGGAGTGGTGACTGCCAGCCAGCCGTTCGTGATAACGGAACAGACTGCGCCCAGGAAGCAGCTGCATGACTGCTCACCATCAACCGAGCAGGCCCGGCTTACATCCCTCGACTTGACACTCCCTCTCCTCGTACGGTCGGATCGAGGTATAAGATCGAGGTCGGCACGCGGAGGGTATCCTAATGTTCCTCGTGCTTGTTGGATGCATACTTGGGTGAGGGTGCCCTCGAATGTTCTTCAGTTCGGGCCGGCGGAGGGTTTCATGCGCTTGAAGGATGTTATTGTGTTTCAGGTCCGACCGTACCCAGACCCCGAAGCCGTGATGTTTTCACAACGTGGTCCCCCGAAGGTATCGACCCATCATTTCCCTGGGCGGGCTCGTCATCCCGAGTCGTCTTTTGACCGTCCCGGGCTCCGACGAGGGCCTGAGAGCCTGATCGTAGTTAGCAGCAGCAGAACATCGTCCGTCGTGCGATTTGGCGACGCGTCGGGATCTGGGTATCTCCTGTTTCTCCGCCCGACCTCTGAGTGGCCTCTTCTTCCCCCCCCTCCGCGGCCGCCTCGTCTGCCCTCTCCCCGCTCTTGAGCCCTGGCCAATTCGCTTCTCGGTGCCCCCGTTGAGCTCTAGCGCTGGTGCAGCCAACTCTGCCGCGCCGCTGACGAGAAAAACTGGTTCTCCCCCCCGCCCCTCGCCATCCATTGGCCAGGCTGGCTCCGGCACTGGCACCAACACGTCCAGCGACTGGATGCAGGGCCCTCCGTGGAGCCGCCAGGGATCCGCCGTCGCCGGCGAGCTTCTGCCGAGCTGCCGCAATGAGGTCGCTGCGTGACGGGCGGCAGTTAGGCAGGGTCTGGTGTGTTTATGTTTCGGCAGCCAGTGTGGATCCCAGACAGTGCGTTGTTGCACCGTGGAGGGGGGAGCTCTGCGGTGTAAGCTATGTGGTGGAAGTTGTCGTGTCAGATAAACTTACACAGGTCAGAATAATTCTCTGGGGACAAACATTCGGGGCCCAGGCGGGATAATACATTGTTCCTGGAGATGTCGAATGTCAGGATGGGATTGTTCATGGTGCTATGCATGATATGAAGATCAGAATTGTGGTTGGATCTTTGGAGGGGATCGTGAAGTTCGGCCTCCCCGCCTGTTGTGGCAATTGAGCCACATTCAATCCCGTGGATAAAGAGATACAAGGGTTAAGGGGGGATGCTTTATTATATCCGATGGTTGCGGTTAGGTGATGGGAGCCATGGAAGTTAAAATTGCTCAAGAGGCGCGCCATTCCGCCGACCTCCGCAACATGGAATTCACCAAGAGTCGTGGCACCTTACCTGGCCTGGGAGTCAGGAGCCTCGGGGATGCATATAATGGCTTCCTGGAGTGCCTCTCAGGGGACTCTTGGGGCGCTCTTTGGGGCCTCTCGGGGGCCCTCTTTGGGGGCCTCTCGGGTGCCTCCCTGGGCCTCTCGGTGGCGCCTCGGGGGTCACGGCGTGTTCTTGGGGCCATCACGGAGGGAAGGACTCGAGATGTCAGCTCGTATTGCCCCTCTTCGGCCCCTTTCGGGGCCCTCCTGGGCCGTCTGAGGCGGCCATGGAGCTCTCTTGGGGTTCGATTGGGCAGTCTGGGAGCGCTCTTCGGGGCCTCGTGTACCGTCATGGGACGATATATCGGGGCTCCTTTGGCCGTAGTGTACGCTGTTAAGGCGAAAAAGGCGTGCATGTCGAAAATGCACGTTTTCCAAACGGGATTGAGCGAGCCTTGCCTCTTGGGCTCTCGGGGCCCTCTCTGCGGCCCCCTGGGAGCACTCCTGGGTGTCGTTCGGGGCCTCGCGGGGTTACCCTGGACCGTCTCGAGGCTCTCTTGGATTGTCTCGGAGCTTATTGGGCCATCTTGGGGCTGTGTGGAGGCTCCTGAGAGCCCCCGAGGTGCGCCTAGGAAGCCGGGGTGGACTCGAGGTGGAAGCCATGGGGTGTAAGATACGTGATGTAAGCTGTGGTGTCGGCCCCGCGGTGTAACCAGCTGGTGCAAGCTGTGTGGTGCAAGTTCAGAGCACGGAGCGCCCACCAGGCATCTACGAGGCGGCACCGGCGGCAGCGCGGTGCAACCTCGTGCCGCGAGGCGCCCGCGGCACGGGCGGCAGCGTGGAGAAGACGCGGAAAACCCATCCAGGTTTCATGCAGCACAAGCCAGAGCCCGGACGTGGGTGCAAGCGATGCTCTGGGACAGGAGAAGGACGGCACAAACATAAACTGATTGAGCTCCGCGCGGGTTTTTTTTTTCCTCGGCGCGGGATCCCCCTGGCGGCGCCTCCTGCGCCGCCCCTGGCGCGCTCTCCGCACGCCAGGGAGGGGGGCCAAGCGCCGATCCAAGAAATCTGAGCGGAGCTCCGAACGTCTGTGCTATATGCTCCAGTTTCGGCCTCGTTGGGCCAGTCTCAGGCCCCAAGGAACCATGAGAATCAGACACCAGCCTCAGGGCAGGGGCCGCAGATCTCGGGGGGCCAGCGACTGAAGCAACACGACCTCCAGAGGTCGGAGGAGGCCCCATGCTCCCCAGCAGGGCTCGTCGGTGGCCGATGCCTTCTCCAGAGACCCAATCTGCCTTCTCAGGAGTCTGCGCCCCGATTCTTGGCCCCTTCTGCTCCCTGCCGAGGTGGCGGGAGGCCTCGGCAAGCTCTGCGGCTCGACCTGCTCCAGCAGCAGCTGCAGCCAGGGAGCCGCGCAGAATTCCTCTGTCTCGGCCCAGCCTGGTGGTGGCGTACACCAGTGAGGCTTGCACTGCTGACAGGCGACCCGAATGAACGCTGCTTGCCATGGTTGAGGAGACCCGTCTGAGGGCTCAATAATTCACGGAGCCCTCAGTGCCCCATTCAGCCGCCACTTTTATTCTACAACTTTTATTCTACATCTCACACTCGTATCCTTCTCAATCCTATACCTTGTTCGTGGGCTCCTCTTAATCATATCAACCCAGCACTCGATGCCGATGCCATTTTGTGAGAGCCGATGGGCCGTTCTTTGCTTGCGACGTCGCTTAGCCGCGATAGCTCGCACAGTGTAGTGTTTCCAGCTACCCTCCTGTGAGCATAGGGCGGCGAAGCGTCCAGCAGGCCAGTTTCAACCTACGCGCCGCATTGACATGCTGGTAGCAGCATGGCACCGCCTCGATCAGCTCCCTCGCCAAAGAGGGTAACTCGACTCTCCTGGTCTTTATACGCGTATTACACGCTTGCGAGATCGAGTGTCGACATGTTTTCGCTGGCTTCGTTAAGGGCCAGTCTACTACGCGAGCCTCTCGAGGGAAGGTCCCCGCCATGGCCTCCCATGTCTCCACAGGTGCCACTAACGGCTGCACGAACTAGGGTGGGGAAGGAGAAGGAGGGCAACAATTAGGAGGAGGAGGAGGAGGAGGAGGAGGAGGAGGAGGAGGAGGAGGAGGGGGAGGAGGAGAGGGAGGAGGAGGAGGAGGAGGAGGAGGGGGAGGAGGAGGAGGATGGGGAGGAGGAGGAGGAAGAGGAGGAGGAGGAGGAGGAGGAGGAGGAGGAAAAATTGACAACGAACCCACCTTGTGAGAGCGGATGGGCCGTTCTTGAAATGCCACGTCGCTTAGCCGCAATAGCTCGGCTCGTACAGTGTAGTTTTTCCATCTACTCTCCTGCGAGCATAGAGCGGCGAAGCGTCCAGAAGGCCTGTTTTAACCTATGCGCCGCATTGACATGCTCGAAGCAGCATGGCGCAGCCTCGATCAGCCCCCTCGTCAATGAGGGTCACTAGAGCGTCCCGGTCTTTGGACGCGTACTACACGCGTGCGAGATCGAGTCTCGACATTTTCTCGCCGGCTTCTCTAAAGGCCAATTTCTGGTCCTTGCCACGGAAGGAAGGCCGTCGCCTTGGCCATCTCCACACGTGCCACCAAGGCTTCACGAACGAGGGGGGAAAGGAACTGGAGGGCAACAAGTGTTTACGCTTCGCGTATCCCCGCCTCCTGTACTCTTGCGGTTCCGTGGGTGTCTACGCCCCTGCATTCAATTCACTCGCAGCTTGCAGACCCTTGCAGCCGACCACCCTGGCAGCCAGCCCATCCTTGCAGTGCGTTGCATGCGTGCACCCTGGCAGTGCAGCTTCCCAGCAGTTGCCGCCAGCCCCCCTCCATTCGCCGGCCTGCCCGCAGAGGTGCTGCGTGAGGCTTCGGCCCACCGCTTTAGGTTAATTCGTCTTTGCGCGGCCCGCTCTGACTGGACACGCCGCTGGCGCTCTCGCCTGCGGCTGCTGACCAAAAAATATCACCGCCTCCTTTCCTGGTCAGTGAGTTCTTCCTGGCCGTGCTGGTGTCTGCGGTCCTTTGTGATGGCGCTCCTGGCTTCATCCTTGTATCGCTCCCGCGCCATTTTGGCTGCGCCCCAACATCGGTTGGCTAATCTGCATGTGCTCGCTCCTGGACCTGGTTCCTGGCAGCTGCAGCCCGCACCACCTCCCGCTTCCGGTGATCTGAGGTGCCGCCTAGGCCTCTGTTTGCTGGCGTGTAGGCAGTTAGGTTCGCGCGCGGCCTGCCCGTTCCGTTTGACGCCGCCTGCGCCTTCGCTTGCGGCTGCCCCCAAAAAAAGTACCCCCGCCTCTTCACACCGAGCGATCGACCTCTGCGTGTTTATGGCCGCGCCGCCGCGCCATTTTGGCTGCGCTTACTTGCTGGTCGCCACCGGGATTTCCAACGCCACCGGGTTTGGGAGTATCGGTTCTGGCTCTCCTTCAGAGTTGCTGCCCGCTCGCTCGTTTCGCTTGCCTTTCTTTCCCTGCTGCCTAGTCACGGCCCGACTAGTGTTCGGACGGTGTTCGACCCGCCTCGAGCGCCTGTTGACCAAAAAGTGCCCCCGCCTCCGCTTACTTGCTGGTCGCCTCCGGGATTTCCAACGCCACTGGGTTTGGGAGTGTCGTGTCTGGCTCTCCTTCTGAGTGGCTGCCCGATCGTTCGTTTCGTTTGCTTTTCCTACTCCTGCTGCCTAGTCGCGGCCCGACTAGTGTTCGGACGGCTTTCGACCCTCCTCGCAAGCCTGTTGACGAAAAAAAGTATCCCCGCCTCTTGTAGCCTTTTGCTCAAGGGCTCGAGGTTGGCCGGCGCGGCCTGGGCGGCCTGGGCGGCGCGGCCCGCTGCTTGCGCCGCGGCTGCCGAGGCCGCGGCGCGGCGGCGGCGCGGCGGCGGCGGCAGCGGCGCGCCGCCGCTTCCCGCACCGCGTGCTCCGCTGCCGCCGGCGCCCCCTGCGCAGCGGCCGCTGTGGGCGCCGCGGGCGCCCCCCCGCGCCGCGGCGGCTTCCGCTGTCCCTGCCGCCCCGCCCGGCGCTTCGCCGCTGGCCGCCGCGGGCGGCTGCGCGCGCCGCCGGCGCCCCCCGTGCCGCTGGCGCCGCCGACGCCGGTGGCACCGCCTGACCCGCGGGTGCCGGGGGTGCGGCCGGCTCCCCGGTGGCCGCGGGCCCCTATGGCGACACGGGGGCCGCGGGCGCCTCCAGTGCCGCGTGCGCCGCGGGCGCCCCGCCGCCCCTCCGCCGCGTGTGCCGCCGTCGCGGCCGCTGGCGCGCTCGCTGCCGCCGCGGCCGCCGGCGCCGCGGCCGCTGCAGCGGCCGTGGCTCGTGCGACCGCGCTGGGGCCCGCCGCGGCCGACGCTGCCGCGACAGCCTCCGCTGCCGCCGCTGCGGCCGCCGCTGCTGCTGCGGTGGCGGCTGCCGCCTCCTCTCGGGCCTGCGGGCCAGCTCAGGGAGGCCCGGCTCCCGCGGCGGGCTGGGCACAAGTCGTGGCGTAAGGCGTCTCCAGCGAGCTGCCCCAGGACCTGCCCGCTGGCTCTGCCGCCGCGGCCGGCGACTTCGGCTTCGAGGCGGTGGCGTCCAACGAGGCAGGCGACAAGCAGAGCCGAGGCCGCGCCAACGTCCCGAGTTTTTCCTGGCATCCTGCGCCGCGGGGCGGAGCGACGCGCCATCCGCTCGTCGGGAAGAGCGCGTCGCTGGGGCCGCCCCCGCCCGCCGCGGCGGGCGACTGGGCCAACGGCCCGCCCCCCCTCCCTTCCCCACTCCCGTTTCTCAGAGTACGTTTACGACGATCAGTCGCCTGCCTGGGGACGGCTCACGCAGGACACCTGCGACGAGCAGTCGCCTACTTGGGGAAGATTTACACAGGACGCTTGCGACGATCAGACGCCCATCTGGAGACGATGCCCCCCTCCCTCCCCCCCTCCCGTTTCTCAGAGTGCATTTGTGACGATGAGTCGCCTGTCTGGAGAAGACTCACAAAGGACACCTGCGACGATCAGTCGCCTACCTTGGGAAGATTCGCACGGGATACTTACGTCGATCAGACGCCCATGTGCAGCCGGTGTCCTGGAGCGCGCAAGGCCCCTCAACGCCGTCAGCCGTCGCCGGATGTCCCGGCACGAGCGCGGCCTGCTTTCCCGCCGACGAAGCCGACGACGACGACGACGCCGCCGACGCCGACGCCGACGCCGACGACGCCGACGCCGACGATGCCGATGCCGACGACGCCGATATCGACGCCGACGACATGGGGGCACTGCAAGCGTTGGAGCAGAAGCCGGGGGCGCCGGACGAGCAGGAGCAGGCGACCACCCGCCCACGCACTTCCTCGACTTGCCATCCATCCCCGCGCGGCCAGTGCCTCGACAGAGACCCGGGGGACGTACCAGGCCCCTGTGGCAGAACCCCGCCACCGGTGCTGACTGACGCCAACGACGCCAGCGCCGCCGCCGCCGACACCGACGACGGCGCCATTGCCGACGACGCCGATGCCGTCGGCGGCGCCGACGATGACGCCGACGCCGACGCGATGCCGACGACGCTGACGACGACGCTGACGACGACGCCGACTTGGGGACAGCGCGAGCGTTGGAACACAAGCCGGGGGCACCAGACGAGCGGGAGCAGGCGGCCACCCGCCCGCGCAGTTCCACTGACCCTTTCAGCCCGTGGCACCGACGCGCGGACGGACGCTTTCCATCTTGACGCCGTCCCCCCCCCCGCAACAGCGCGAGGCCATGCGCCGAGGAGCGACGGCGCCGCTGCCAGCGCGCGCAGCTGGCGCGTCTGCCTGCAAGCGGCTGGGCGCCGGGCCTGGCCCCGATAAGCGGCGAGCTTCCAGCCCCGTCGCCACCCGCGGGGCGAAACATCGTCGACCTGGCAGCATCGACGGGTTGGCGGGGTCTGACAGGCGGCAGGCGACTGACGACGCCGACGCCGACGACGACGCCGACGCCGACGCCGACGCCGACGCCGACGCCGACGCCGACGCCGACGCCGACGACGACGACGACGACGACGACGACGACGACGACGACGACGACGACGACGACAACCCGGACGCCGACGCCGACGGTCTGGGGACAGAGCAGGCGTTGGAACAGAAATCGGGAGCGCCAGACGAGCAGTCCTGGAGCGACCAAAGCCCCTCCGCGCCGTCAGCCGTCATCGGTTGTCCTTGCACGAGCGCGGCCCGCCCTTCCGCCGACGACGCCGACGCCGACGACGCCGACGACGACGACGACGATGCGGACGCTGACGCCGACGCCGACGCCGACGCCGACGCTGGCGCCGACGACGACGACAACGACGACGCTGACGACGCCGACGCCCGCGCCGACAACCCGGGGGCAGTGCGGGCGTTGGAACAGAAGCTGGGGGCGCCAAGCGAGCAGGAACAGGCGAGCACCCGCCCGCGTCGTTCCGTGGACCCCTCAGTCCTTCAGCCCGCGGCAGCAACGCGCGGACGGATGCG